CGAGCCGCGTCAGCTGTCAGCCCATCGGCTGGATTGCACCCCTCTCAAGGGGTATGGACTGAACTACTAAACCAGAGTGTCTGAGATATGGCGGTGCCCCGCTCCCCATCCTGCAGTGTCCGTGAGCCTCAACTCCACTTTAGTTTTTGTTAATTTAATAAACCTTTTTGAACTTTCCCACTGACTGTCTCTCCTTGAATACTGGGTCCATCTGTCCGCGATTCCTGACATCCAAGCAAGCCGCCTGCTACTTGCTCAGAAGAAAAAGGGAAATGGCGACTAACAGTGGTGAATATTGTAAGTGCAGTTTAATGTTATATAAGTTTGTGAATAATTTTGTCTTAAATTAATGAAAAAAATTTTTATTTAAATGGTTAGTGAGTCATAAATGTCAAAAGGAATGTTTTGTTTATTGAAATGTTGTATATGTCCATGTACAAATGGGTTTGGCTGACATTTAAGCCAAACCCATTGGGGACTGTAAATCTGATATCTGCGACGACAGTACTGCTGCACCGCAGATCACAGGGACACAAGGTGAGCAGACATAGGGATAACCACACCCACCAGAGATGGGCAGATGAGAGCACCAGAAGCCCGACCCCTGAGGGGCCAAACCCTAAACGGAGCCCAGTCACCAAGGGATTTGACCCTGGAGACCATAGCGCCCGGTTCCCATGGGGCAGCGGCAGCAAGCCCACCGGCTACACCCGCGATCGATCGGTCACATCCAAGGGGGATCTGGATGAGAGCCCCAGGGCCCAAGGTCCAGGGGCGCACCTCCTTCAAGTGGGCACCCCACAGGGCCAGGAGGCCCAGGCCCTGACCAGAAGTCAACCGGAATGAGACAGCAGCAACTGAAGTTCCCAACCTTGCACCTAGAGGGGGAGGAGACAGGCCACGCTTATACTTGGGCCTAAGATGTTCTGTGGGTGCGGCGGGGAGACAAGCACCCAGCCTGACAAGTAGAGAGAAACAACTTCACATTCATCCAGTCACATTCACACAGAGATGGCAAAAGTACTCACTTTCCGTACTTGAGTAAAAGTACAGATACTTTTGGTAAAAAATACTCTGGTAA